AGGTGCGTGTGTCTATAGGTGTGTGTGTGAGAGTCTATGGGTGGGTGTGTGTGTGTGAGTCTATGGTGTGTGTGGTGAGTGTGTGTGAGTCTATGGGTGTGTGTGTGTGTGTGAGTCTATAGGTGCGTGTGTCTATAGGTGTGTGTGTGTGAGTTTATGGGTGGGTGTGTGTGTATGAGTCTATGGGTGTGTGTATGTGAGTGTGTGTGAGTCTATGGGTGTGTGTGTGTGTGAGTCTATAGGTGTGTGTGTCTATGGGTGTGTTTGTGTGAGTCTATAGGTGTGTGTTTGAGTGTGTGTGAGTCTATGGGTGTGTGTGTGTGAGTCTATAGGTGTGTGTGTGAGTCTATAGGTGCGTGTGTCTATAGGTGTGTGTGTGAGAGTCTATGGGTGTGTGTGTGAGTGTGTGTGAGTCTATGGGTGTGTGTGTGTGTGTGAGTCTATAGGTGCGTGTGTCTATAGGTGTGTGTGTGTGAGTTTATGGGTGGGTGTGTGTGTATGAGTCTATGGGTGTGTGTATGTGAGTGTGTGTGAGTCTATGGGTGTGTGTGTGTGTGAGTCTATAGGTGTGTGTGTCTATGGGTGTGTTTGTGTGAGTCTATAGGTGTGTGTTTGAGTGTGTGTGAGTCTATGGGTGTGTGTGTGTGAGTCTATAGGTGTGTGTGTGAGTCTATAGGTGTGTGTGAGTCTTTAGGTGTGTGTGTGAGTCTATAGGTGTGTGTGTGAGTCTATAGGTGCGTGTGTCTATAGGTGTGTGTGTGTGTGAGTCTATGGGTGTGTGTGTGTGTGAGTGTGTGTGAGTCTATGGGTGTGTGTGTGTGAGTCTATAGGTGCGTGTGTGTCTATGGGTGTGTGTGTGAGTGTGTGTGAGTCTATGGGTGCGTGTGTGTGTGTGAGTCTATAGGTACGTGTGTGTATGAGTGTTTGGGTACGTGTGACGTCACCGCCCCCGTGGGGAGTGGTGGTGCAGCGCTCAGCGCGTTGAACCCGGCAAACCCGAGTTCGATTCCCGCTCATGGACAACACCGGTGAATTATCTGAACCGCACCTGGGCCTCCCATAGGTCGACTCAGCCGCAAATGAGTACCTGGGGAGACAAAGGCGGCCGGGCGTGGTGCAGGCCACCCACCCCCTGGTGTGCCGTTCCGGCCTTCATAGTTGCTGCTCGCTAACAGCACTTGCCCCTGCAGCCCTGCTAGAGGCTACCTGGGGTAGCTTTGTCTGTGTGTGGTGTGTGTAGTACATAGATACTGCTGCTACTAACAGCACTTTCCCCTGCAGCCCTGCTAGAGGCTACCTGGGGTAGCTTTGTCTGTAGCTGTGTAACAGCACTTGCCCCTCCAGCCTGCAACAAGTTGCTGAGCTGGAGTGTTCGATAGCTACTGACGTCTGAACAACTTCAAGTTTAGCATCATCATCATTATCAGTAGCAGCAGCATCAGCATTGTCAGCATCAGGAGTAGCATCATCGTCAGCATCAGGAGTAGCATCATCATCAGCAGCAGCATCATCAGCACCATCCTCAGCATCAGGAGTAGCATCATCATCATCAGCATCGTCAGCATCATCGTCAGCATCAGGAGTAGCATCATCATCAGCAGCAGCATGATCAGCATCGTCAGCATCATCGTCAGCATCAGGAGTAGCATCATCATCAGCAGCATCATCAGCATCGTCAGCATCAGCATCATCAGCATCGTCAGCATCAGCATCATCAGCATCAGGAGTAGCATCATCATCATCAGCAGCAGCATCATCAGCATCATCGTCAGCATCAGGAGTAGCATCATCATCATCATCAAATAGCAGCAGCAGCAATCAAAACTGCTCGGCTCAATTCCTCTGCGTTCAGATTTCGGGAGCGAAAATCACGCGGCTCACATTCACTCGCCAGAGAATCCGTCGGCCGAGTCGTTAATTGCATTCGTGCCAATTAGCGAGAGGCGGCCCTCGCGAGCCGAAGCACCGTCACTGATCGTCATCTCTCTCCCCATTCTCTCACTACCCTCTCTCTCCCCTCTTTTTTTTACGATCAGTGGAAACAAGAAGATGCTCGGTGTATTCGGCACTTTGTTTCGTTCATCATTTCGTAAAATGTTTTTTTTTTTAAACGGGGCTTTATATAACCCTCGCTCGCTCTCTCGCTCTCTCGCTCTCTCGCTCGCTCACTCGTTCTCTCGTTCGTTCTGTCGCTCATTCTCTCTCTCCACTCTCTCTCCCCATTCTCTCATTCCCCTCTCTCTCTCCTTACGATCTCTCTCCACTCTCTCTCCCCTCTCTTTTTTATTATTTTTATTAATTTATTTTTTATTTTTTTATTATTATTTACGATCAGTGGAAACAAGAAGATGCTCGGTGTATTCAGCACTTTGCTTCGTTAATCATTTCGTAATTTTTTTAATTTAAAATTTTAAACTTTGCTTTATGTAAAACCAGCACCTCTCGCTCACTCTCTCGCTCACTCTCTCGCTCCCCCCTCTCTCTCCTCTCTCTCCACTCTCTCTCCTCTCTCTCGATGCCGCTGCGTCCTGGCATCCGATGATCGCTGCGTTCTATTTGCGCGACCTCCGCAAGTTGATTCCAAAATTAACAAACAAAAAAACCGAGTTGCTCTCTCCCCCCCCCCCGTCTCCCTGTCCCCTGTCTCTTTTTTCTTTTACGATCAGAGGAAACAAGAAGACGCTCAGTGTAGTCGGCACTTTGCTTCGTTCATCATTTCGTTTTGTTTGTTTGTTTTTCAATGCTTTGCTTTATGTGCCCCCTCCGCCTTTTAAAATTAAGATTTCATGAAAGATGTCACGCTCTGCTCTCCTCCTTCTTACCCCTTCCCTCTCTACCCTCCCCCCCCTCTCTCTTCCCCCTTTCTCTACCCCCTCTCTCTCTACCCCCTCTCTCTACCCCCTCTCTCTACCCCCTCTCTCTCACTACCCCCTCTCTCCCTACCCCATGTCTATGTTCCCCCTGTTTTCTACGTAGTATTTTGTTCTCTCCCTGTCCCCCCCCCCTCTCTGTCTGTCTCTGTCCCCGTGTCTCCGTCTCCCCGTCTCCCCGTCTCCCCGTCTCCCCGTCCCCCTCCATCCCTACGCAATGCCCATCGCCCCGGTGTAAATCTTCGCCGTTATGGATGTGGCCCCATTTGAGGCTCATCTATCCCCTAATGACGGTGGACAATTTTTTTCCCGGCCCACTCACTATTTCACTATTTCACTATTTCACGCGGCGACGTCCACGTAAATCTCCCGGCCCGAGACCCGGCCGGGTAAATTGTGAAATGGATAAATCACGCGGTGAGTGAGTGGAGAGTACCGGTGTGGGGAGATGGTGAGAGAGAGAGAGTGTGGGGAGATGGTGAGAGAGTGTGGGGAGATGGTGAGAGTGAGAGAGTGTGGGGAGATGGTGAGAGAGAGAGTGTGGGGAGATGGTGAGAGAGAGTGAGAGAGTGTGGGGAGATGGTGAGAGAGAGAGTGTGGGGAGATGGTGAGAGAGAGAGAGTGTGGGGAGATGGTGAGAGAGAGTGAGGGGGGAGGGAGAGAGTGTGGGAGTGTGGAACGGGCAGTGGGAGAAGGAGAGGAAGGAGGAGGAGACGGAGGAAGGGAAAGAGGAGGTAGGAGTGCATTGGTGGGAGATGAGAGAGATGGGAAGGAGTTGAGAGAGATGGGAAGGAGAGGGAGGAGGAGGATGAGGTCTAGGAGCCCGACTGCGACCACCTGAGTTCACGACTTCCGATTGTTAGCCAGGGCCGGGGTGTGATGCGTGGTGTGTGTGTAAGTGGCGTATGGAGTGTGAAGTAGTGGTGTGTGTGTGTCTCTCTGTCTGTGTCTCTCTGTCTGTCTCTCTGCCTGTGTCTCTGCCTGTCTCTCTGTCTGTCTCTCTGTCTCTCTGTCTCTCTGTCTGTCTCTCTGTCTGTCTGTCTCTCTGCCTGTGTCTCTGCCTGTCTCTCTGTCTGTCTCTCTGTCTCTCTGTCTGTCTCTATGTCTGTGTCTCTGCCTGTGTCTCTGCCTGTGTCTCTGCCTGTCTCTCTGTCTCTCTGTCTGTCTCTCTGTCTGTCTGTCTCTATGCCTGTGTCTCTGCCTGTGTCTCTGCCTGTCTCTCTGCCTGTGTCTCTGCGTGTCTCTTTGTCTGTCTCTCTGTCTCTCTGTCTGCCTGTCTCTCTGCCTGTGTCTCTGCGTGTCTCTTTGTCTGTCTCTCTGTCTCTCTGTCTGCCTGTCTCTCTGCCTGTGTCTCTGTCTCTCTGCCTGTGTCCCAGCCGTCTGTACTTGCGCGGCACCGCGGCCGGCACCGCCGCGCCGTTTCCGCTCCTAAATCTGCGCGGCCCATCAATCGCTGTCGTAACTCGCGTCGCGCTGACATTATGAAGGCAGTTTAGGATTTAAACCGTGCGAGTTGGGGGGGGGGGCACTGTGAAGTTCGGGGGGAAGGGGGGGGGGCGTGGAGAGTCAATTACGAGCGTGATTTGCACGTATGTCAGGTGTGTGCGTGTGTGTCTTTGCGTGCGCGTGTGCGTGAGTGTGAGTGGGGAGCGGTGGCGCAGCGGTTAGCGCGCCGCGCTACGAACCCTGCCACCCGCGTTCGACTCCCGCTCACGGACAACGTCGTTGGCGATTATCTAACCCGGTGCCGGGCTTCCCCTAGGTCGACTCGGCCTCAAACGAGTAATCGGCGGCTTGGGGGGGGGGGGGGGCATGGGCATGCTCGCCCTCATGCGCCGTGCCGGCCTGCGTAGACGCTATAGCAGCACTTGCCCCGCAGGTCTGAAGAAGGCTACAAGGGGGATCTTTGTCTTTGTGTGAGCGTGTTGGAGTGGTGGCGCAGTGGCGAGCGTTCCGTTCCCGCTCGCGGCTAACATCAGTGGCGAGTCGTACTTCCTGCGGCTGCTCCAGTGTCTTACCTCCCCTAGGTCGACTGAGCCTGAAATGAGTACCTGGTGCGGTGTTGTAGGCACGAATGCTCGAAGCTGTAGAACTCACCCAGTTGGGGTTTGTTTTGTTTTGTTCCGCCAGAGTGGACCTAGGGGAAGTGCTGGACCTCCACGCTTACGACACCACGACGGGAGACAGGTGAGGGCCACCACTGGGTCGACTCAGCCTAAAATAAGTAATGCATGGTGTGGTGGTGATGCTGGTACGGGTGGTGGTGATGATTTTGTGATATTGTTGGTGGTGATGATGGTGATGATGGTGTGGGGAGCGGTGGTGCAGCGGTTAGCGCGCTGTACTACGAACCCGGCTACCCAGGTTCGATTCCCGCTCACGGCCAACACCGGTGACGATCATCAGAACCGCACCTGGGCTTCCCCTAGGTCGACTCATCCGCAAATGAGTACCTGGTGCGGTGTGTAGTGAACATCGCCACGAGGGAGACAAAGGCGGTCGGGCGTGGTATTGGCCACCCACCCCCTCGTGTACCGTGCCGGCCTTCGTAGGTGCTCGCTAACAGCACTTGCTCCCAACAATCTGTTGGAGCAAAGAAAACGGGGGATCTTTTTCTTTGTAATCATGCGTGTGTGTGTGTGCGTGCGTGTGTGCGTGCGTGTGTGCGTGCGTGTTCGTGCGTGTGTGTGTGTGCGTGTGTGTGTGTGCGTGTGTGTGTGTGTGTGCGTGTGTGTGTGTGCGTTTCTATAGCTGTGCGTGCATGTGCAATGGGAGATTGCGACGGGAGATGGGATGCGAGTTTGGGGGGGTGGGGGGGGATGTGGGTGAGCGTGCACACCGTGTGACTGGCACGCTGCGTGGTGCCAGGTTTCAGGAGAGGCTGGCGCAGCTGATGAGGCCTGGCGAGGACGAACCCTCGCACCTGGACAAGGTAAGCGCACCCTCTCCCGCAGCACGGGAGCTCACAACACAACATCTCCCTGCCCACAGCACCACACACCACATCTCCCTCCCCAGCATCTCCCTCCCCACAGCACCACACACAACATCTCCCTCCCCACAGCACCACACACCACATCTCCCTCCCCAGGATCTCCCTCCCCACAGCACCACAAACCACATCACCACACACCACATCTCCCTCCCCACAGCACCACACGCAGCATCTCCCTCCCCGCAGCAACGCACCGCCCCCCGTGGGAGGCGGCAATTCCACGTTGCCGTGACGAGTCGCGGCCGTTCCCGCGCGACGTTGCGCTGGAGGTCGCGCCCAGGGTCGTCGCCGCCGCCGCCGCCGCCGCCACCCAGCGACAGAGCCCTGCCTGCTGCGGCGACTGTCACAGACGCAGTGTGGAGGGGCCGGAGAAAAGTCCACGTGACCACGGGGGTAGAGAGAGACACGCAAACTCCTGGTCAGCATCGAACCCACGACCTCCTGTAGACCAGGCGAGGTAGTTAACATCTCCTAGCCACTGTGATGATGATGATGATGAGAGAGAGACACGCAAACTCCAAATTTACAGCAGCAGGCGTCAGGGTCGGGATCGAACCCACGACCTCCTGTGTACCAGGCGAGGTAGTTAACATCTCCTAGCCACTGTGGTGATGATGAGAGATGAGAGAGAGAAGGTGCTTCGGCGAATACGTAAAGGACGTCGATCAAAGCGATTGACAGGGTGGCACTTGTGCGGAGGCTACGTGGCTGGAGTGGGCCTTGAGTGACCTGGCGGATTGTTGATCCACGTCTCCCGCTCCCCCGTTGGCGAAGAGCGCAAAGGGGTTCTTGTCGACGGCACCCGGCTCAGCCGGCAACGTTCCCCAACTTTTTCCAACGTTTCCCAACGTTCCACCAACGTTCCTGCAACGTGTGGGTACGGGGGCAGGGGGGGTCAGGGTTAGGTATTAACCCACGGAACCCGCGGCAAATGCAGTCGCGTGTCCGTGTCGCGGGGATGACGAGGGTGAGAGAGTGAGAGAGTGAGAGAGTGGTAGAGTGGTAGAGTGGCAGAGTGTCAGAGTGTCAGAGTGGTAGAGTGGTAGAGTGGGAGAGTGGGAGAGTGTCAGAGTGTTAGAGTGTCAGAATGTCAGAGTGTCAGAGTGTCAGTGTCAGAGTGTCAGTGTCAGAGTGAGAGAGTGAGACAGTGAGAGAGTGGGAGAGTGGTAGAATGGTAGAGTGAGAGGGTGAGAGTGTGTGGGGGTAAGTAGAAATGAACTGCTCTGATGCAAAGACAAAGCTCCCCTGTGTAGCCTCAACAGACTGTTGGGGCAAGGTGCCGTTAGCGAGTCGCGCCGATCAAGGCCGGTGGCGGCGACGTTCACCGCGCCACTGCGCAACGGGTTACTCATTCGAGGCTGAGTAGACCTAGGGGGAGGTCAGAAACCGTTTCAGGGGCAACAAACGACCGAGACTCGTGGTCCTAAACAAACTCTTCAACGCGGGGCGCGCGGTCGTAAATCGCGGATTGTTCGTCCAACACTTGACTCGCAACCTCTTTGCGGGGGGGAGGGGGGGGGGTCTTGTTTTGTTCAGACCGCCCCCCCCCCATTCCCCCACTTCTTCTCCCTGTTGGAGGTTTAACATCGACGGGCCAATGGAGGCCAGCCACGATCGTTGTCGTCCGGATGGATTCACGTCCAAGTGGTTTGGCCGCTCTGTTTGCTGCCCGCGGAGAGACGCACGGAGAGAGAGGGGAGAGAGGCTGGGAGGGCGAGGGGATGCACTTTCCCCAGCTTCAAGTGCATTTATTGGCGTGACCAGGGTGGAGGGGGCGACGAGCGGAGCGGGTGACGCGTCCTGGGCCTCCCCTAGGTCGGCTCCCAACAATCTGTTGGAGCAAAGAAAACGGGGGATCATTTTCTTTGTAATCGTGCGTGCGTGCGTGTGCGTGCGTGTGTGCGTGCGTGCGTGTGTGTGCGTGCGTGTGTGTGCGTGCGTGTGTGTGTGCGTGTGTGTGTGTGCGTGCGTGCGTGTGCTGGAGCCCAGCTTGGCTTGCGGGGTGGTCGCGCGGTCCCGGGCAAGACTAAAGTGAAACCCAAATTGCGGTCGTGATATCGGCGTCGCCACTCCGAGTCGCGGCACTTAAATCTAAAACAAATTTTTATTTTTTTATTTTTACCAAGTGATCAGCTCGACGAAGGGGCTTATCCATCACCAATGCGGACGCTGACGGCAGCCAAATGCTCTTAAACGCGTGATGTCGATTTTAAATGTGGAGGGAGAAACCGGAGGGACCCGGAGAAAAATCCACGAGACCACAGGGAGAGAGAGAGAGAGACACGCAAACTCCAACTACAGTAAAACCTTGGATTGCGAGCATAATGACTTCCGTAAACGTGTTTGTAATCCAAAGCACTCGTATATCAAAGCACTCGTATATCAGTTGTGATCACGTGACGCTCGGCAGACAAAGTGTACACACGTACTACTCGTATTGCACGACCTCGCTCGTTTATCAAATTAATATTTGCTTAAAATTTTTGCTCGTCTTGCAAAACACTCGCAGACCAAGTTACTCGCAATCCAAGGTTTTTCAAATCTACAGCAGCAGGCGTCAGGGTCGGGATCGAACCCACGAACTCCTGCATACCGGGCGAGGTAGTTAACATCTCCTAGCCACCGTTATGATGATGAGAGAGACACGCAAACTCCAAATATACAGCAGCAGGCGTCAGGGTCAGGATCGAACCCACGAACTCCTGCATACCGGGCGAGGTAGTTACCATCTCCTAGCCACCGTTATGATGATGAGAGAGACACGCAAACTCCAAATATACAGCAGCAGGCGTCAGGGTCAGGATCGAACCCACGAACTCCTGCATACCGGGCGAGGTAGTTACCATCTCCTAGCCACCGTTAGGATGATGAGAGAGACACGCAAACTCCAAATATACAGCAGCAGGCGTCAGGGTCAGGATCGAACCCACGAACTCCTGCATACCGGGCGAGGTAGTTACCATCTCCTAGCCACCGTTATGATGATGAGAGAGACACGCAAACTCCAAATATACAGCAGCAGGCGTCAGGGTCGGGATCGAACCCACGAACTCCTGCATACCGGGCGAGGTAGTTACCATCTCCTAGCCACCGTTATGATGATGAGAGAGACACGCAAACTCCAAATATACAGCAGCAGGCGTCAGGGTCGGGATCGAACCCACGGCCTCCTGCATACCAGGCGAGGTAGTTACCATATTCTAGCCACCGTTATGATGATGAGATAGACACGCAAACTCCAAATATACAGCAGCAGGCGTCAGGGTCGGGATCGAACCCACGGCCTCCTGCATACCGGGCGAGGTAGTTAACATCTCCTAGACACCGCGACGCCCAGCGATGCGAACAACAGTGCGCTCGGAGTTTCTGAGCAGCCTCAAGTGGTCACGTGGGTACGTGCGCTGAACTTCGCCCGCATCATTCGTAGCCAAGCGTGCTAATCGGAGGAGGAGGAGGAGGAGACGCGTCTACTGATGTAGGTTTCCTTGGCAGGAGCCGTTAGCGGACAGGAATTGAGGTCAGAGTTTTAAAGTGTCATAAAGTCAGGGGGGAGTGTGCGTGTGTGTGTGTGCGCATGGGTGTATCAGCGCGCGCGTGTGTGTGTGTGTGGTTGTGAGGAGTGGGGAGCGGTGGTGTAGTGGTTAGCGCACTGCGCTACGAACCTGGCGACCCGGGTTCGATTCCCGCTCACGGCCAACAGCAGTGACGATTATCTGAACCAGTTCTGGGCTTCCCCTAGGTCGACACGGCCTCAAATAAGTACCTGGTGCGGTGTGTAAACATCGCCACTGGGGAGACAAAAGCGGCCGGGCGTGGTGCAGGCCGCCCACCCCCTCGTGTGCCACGCCGGCCTTCATACGTTCCTGCTCCTCTAGAACGGCACTTGCCCCAGCGGTCTGTTAAAGGCTATACGGGGGATCTTTCTCTTTGTCTTCTCAACGCAGAGTATCGGCACCGTGACCATTGAAGTGTTGGGGACGGTGCCCCAGCGAGGACTCGACTGGTTTCTGCAGGTGAGACGCCGCTGGGGCTGGGACTGAGGCTGGCACTGGGACTGGGGCTGGGGCTTTTAGTCGGGACCGCCGCTACGCGCACTACCGCTACGACTTGCACCGGGGGGCTACAAACACACCACCAGCGCATACACCATCGGTACACACAGCGTCGATACATAGAGCATTGATACATATAGCATTGATACATATAGCAACGATACATATACAGTGAGGGAAAAAAAGTATTTTATCCCCTGCTGGTTTTGTACGTTTGCCCACTGACAAAGAAATGATCAGTCTATAATTTTAATGGTAGGTTTATTTGAACAGTGAGAGGCAGAATAACAACAACAAAAATCCAGATAAACGCATGTCAAAAATGTTATAAATTGATTTGCATTTTAATGAGGGAAATAAGTATTTGACCCCCTCTCAATCAGAACGATTTCTGGCTCCCAGGTGTCTTTTATACAGGTAACGAGCTGAGATTAGGAGCACACTCTTAAAGGGAGTGCTCCTAATCTCAGCTTGTTACCTGTATAAAAGACACCTGTTCACAGAAGCAATCAATCAATCAGATTCCAAACTTTCTACCATGGCCAAGACCAAAGAGCTCTCCAAGGATGTCAGGGACAAGATTGTAGACCTACACAAGGCTGGAATGGGCTACAAGACCATCGCCAAGCAGCTTGGTGAGAAGGTGACAACAGTTGGTGCGATTATTCGCACTGCTGAAGTCTACCCGGGGGATCTTTGTCTTTGGTGTGTAGAGCCTGCTGTGGGAGAAGAGCGTTCACAATGCAGCTGGGCTGCCCATGGAGGTCCTGCGGATGAAGGTGAGCACTGCTCAAGCAATCACGCCGTCGCGTCGTCCTCATCGTCATCATTGTCGTCATCGTCGTCGTCATCGTCGTCGTCATCATTGTCATCATCGTCGTCATCGTCGTCGTCATCATCGTCATCATCGTCGTCATCATTGTCATCGTCGTCGTCATCGTCGTCGTCATCATCGTCATCATTGTCGTCGTTGTCGTCGTCGTCATCATCGTCATCATCATCATCATCGTCATCATCATCGTCGTCATCATCATCGTCATCATCATCATCATCGTCGTCGTCGTCGTCGTTTTCATCGTCGTCGTCATCATCGTCATCATCGTCGTCGTCATCATCATTGTCATCGTCGTCGTCATCATTGTCGTCATCATCATCGTCATCATCATCGTCATCATCCCCATCATCAGTCATTGTCATCGTCGTCATCGTCATCATCCCCATCATCAGTCATTGTCATCGTCATCGTCGTCATCATTGTTACCACGACCACCACTACTACCGCCACCGTCGCCACCACCAGCACACCACCACGGCCACTGCCACCACAACTACATCCACAACCATCACCACCATTATCGCAACCACCGCCACCACCACCATCACCACCGATACTACACCGCTGCAACCACAACCACCACAACCAACACCACTCCTGTCACCACCATCAACCACAGCCACCACCGTCTTCACCCCATGTATTAGCACATCCACTGCCATCATCACCACAACCTTCGGCACAATCAATCATCACCGCCACCACCACCACCACCACCCGTAGCCCCAGGCTCTACGCATTTCAAGCTAAGTCGACCTCGTGCTTGCCCACTCCTGCCTCTCTTTACTGCCACGGGACAGACCCTAATTGAGCCCCGTTTAATGAACAAGTAGGTAGGGGGCGTGATGGGGTAGGGGGTGACTCATGGGAAGCCACGGGGGGTCCCATTTCCCCGCAGGCTGAGTCTGCACCCCTGCAGACCACGTGTCTCATCCCCGTGTCTCATCCCCCTGTCTCCCCCCCCCCCCCCGTGTCTCCCCGTGTCTCCCCCCTGTGTCTCCTCTCGGTGTCTCCTCCGTCTCTCCCCCTGTCTCCCTGTCTCTCCCTTGTCTCCTCTCTGTGTCTCCTCCCCGTGTCTCCTCTCTGTCACCCCCCTGTGTCTCCTCTTTGTGTCTCTCTCCCTGTCTCTCTCCCTGTCTCTCCCTGTCTCCTCCCCCGTGTCTCCCCGTGTCTCCTCTCTGGCTCCTTGCCGTGTCTCCCCCTGTCTCCTCCCCCGTGTCTCCCTCTGTCTTTCCCTGTCTCCCCCTGTCTCCCCCCCCCCCCCGTCTCTCCCCCTGTCTCTCCCTGTCTCCCTGTCTCTCTGTCTCCTTGTCTCCCTGTCTCTCCCTGTCTCCTCCCTCGTGTCTCCCCGTGTCTCCTTTCTGGCTCCTTGCCGTGTCTCTCCCTGTCTCCTCCCCCGTGTCTCCCTCTGTCTTTCCCTGTCTCTCCCTGTCTCCCCCCCCCCCCCGTCTCTCCCCCTGTCTCTCCATGTCTCCTTCTGTCTCTACCCCGTGTCTCCCCCTGTCTCTCACGGCCAACACGATTATCTGAACCGATCCTGGGCCTCCTCTAGGTCGACTCAGCCTTAAGTGAGGACCCGGTGCGATGTGTAAACATCGTCACTAGGGAGACAAAGGCGGCCGGGCGTGGTGTTGCCCACCCACCCCCTCGTGTACCGTGCCGGCCTTTATAGATGCTCGCTAACAGCACTTGCCCCTACAGTCTGTTAAGGCTATTATTTTTGTGTGTGTCTGTGTGTGTGTGTTTGTGTGTGTGTCTGTGTGTGTGTGTCTGTGTGTGTGAGTCTGTGTGTGTGTGTCTGTGTGTGTGAGTCTGTGTGTGTATCTGTGTGTGTGTGTCTGTGTGTGTGAGTCTGTGTGTGTATCTGTGTGTGTGAGTCTGTGTCTGTGTGTGTGTGTCTGTGTGTGTGTGTGAGTCTGTGTGTGTGTCTGTGTGTGTGAGTCTGTGTGTGTATCTGTGTGTGTGTGTGAGTCTGTGTCTGTGTGTGTGTGTCTGTGTGGCCACCCACCCCCTCGTGTACCGTTCCGGCCTTCATAGGTGCTCGCTAACAGCACTTGCCCCTACAGTCTGTTCAGGCTATACGGGGGATCTTTGTGTGTGTGTGTGCGTGCGTGCGTGCAGGGCCTGGTGAGCGTGTGTGGCGCTGTGCGCCCGCTGCTGGTGCAGGCCGTGCGGGAGCTCTTTGAGCAGCAGGAGGCCCCCGCCTCGTGGCCCGCCGGCGAGCCTCGCCTCAGCAGGCTCATCCTCATTGGTACGCTCGCCCACCCGCTCGCCCACCCGCTCACCCACCCGCTCACCCGCTCACCAATCCACTCACCCACCCGCTCACCCACTCGCTCACCCGCTCACACACCCGCTCACCCACCCGCTCACCCACCCGCTCACCCACCCGCTCACCCGCTCACACACCCACCCACACCACTCACCAATCCACTCACCCACCGCTCACCCACACGCTCGCCCACCCGCTCACCCACCGTTCACCCACCCGCTCACTCACCCGCTCACTCACCCGCTCACACCCGCCCACCCGCTCACCAATCCACTCACCGACCGCTCGCCCACCCGCTCGCCCACTCGCTGACCCGCTCACACACCCGACCACCCGCTCACCAATCCACTCACCGACCGCTCACCCACCCGCTCACCCACTCGCTCACCCTCTCACACACCCGCCCACCCGCTCACCAATCCACTCACCGACCGCTCACCCACCCGCTCACCCGCTCGCTCACCCGCTCACACACCCGCCCGCCCACCCGCTCACCAATCCACTCACCCACCGCTCACCCACCCGCTCGCCCACTAGCTCACCCGCTCACGCGCCCGCCCACCCGCTCACCAATCCACTCACCGACCGCTCACCCACCGCTCCCCTGCCTGCTCACCCGCTCACACACCCGCCCACCCACTCACCAATCCACTCACCCACCCACTCGCCCACTCGCTCACCCGCTCACGCGCCCGCTCACCCGCCCAATCACCCACCAACTCACCCGTTCACTTACCTGCCCGATCACCCACCTGCCCGCTCACCCATCCACTCACCCATCTGCTCACCCATCCACTCACCAATCCACTTAACCATCCGCTCACCCATCCGCTCACCCACCCGCTCACCAATCCGCTCACCAACCCACTCACTCACCCACTCACTCACCCACTCACCCATCCGCTCACCCCCCCGCTCACCCATCCGCTCACCAACCCACTCACTCACCCACTCACCCGCCCGCTCACCCACCTGCCCACTCTCCCATCCACTCACCCGTCCGCTCACCCATTAGCTCACCCATCCACTCACCAATCCACTCACCCACTCACCCAGCCATTCACCCATCTGCTTACCCAAACAAAATTTTCACTCTGGGTCTAGGGACCCTAGTCCCAGACTTCCTGATTCAGGGACCTGTTCTAGGAACCAGTGTTAATGTTAGCACGACAAAAAAAGGCAACTCAATTAAGGCTGAGTCGACCTAGAGAAGGCCCAGAACCGGTTCACGCATTTGCCACCGATGTTTGCCGTGGCCGGGAATGGAACTCATGTGGCCGGGTTTCATAGGGCGGTGCGCTAACCACGATGCCACCACTCCCCCATCACAAACACCATTTCGTTTGCCGGTGACCGTGTTTCTCATCCGTACGCCTCTTTGGCTTAGGGAGGTCTTCATCCAGCAGTGGATTGACCATGGCCGATGACGTGGTGGTAGTAATAGACGCTGGCACGGCTTGCTTGCAGGCTACGTTCAATTGTGGGTTTTATTTTCATTCTCGTTGAGATTAGCCGACACGTGCGCAGAGAGTAGAACTCGTGACGCGCACCGGCAGGGGAGCACGTGGATGAGAGGACACACGCGGATTCGTGAGATGGCACGGGCCTTCATCCAGCGGTGGATCGAACCACGATCCTGATGAGACGATGTTTATTCGTGTGTGTGTCTCCTGTGTGTGACTTGCGTCTTCTTCTTCTGTGTGTGGTGTTTCGTGTGTGTGTGTGTTTCGTGTGCGTGTGTGTGTGTTCCGCGTGTGTGTGTTTCGTGTGTGTGTGTGTGTTTCGTGTGAGTGTTTCGTGTGTGAGTGTTTCGTGTGTGAGTGTTTCGTGTGTCTCCTGTGTGTGACTTGCGTCTTATTCTTCTGTATGTGTGTGTTTCGTGTGTGTGTGTGTTTCGTGTGTGTGTGTTTCGTGTGTGTTTCGTGTGTGTGTGTGTTCCGCGTGTGTGTGTTTCGTGTGAGTGTTTTGTGTGTGTTCCGTGTGTGTGTGTGTTCCGCGTGTGTGTGTGTTCCGCGTGTGTTTCATGTGTGTGTGTTTCGTGTGTGTGTTTCATGTATCCGGCATTTAATTTACCACCCCTCCCCTGGATCGACTCAGCCTTAAATAAACAAAACACCTGGTGGTGTGGCGTGTGAAACATCAACACGGGGGGGGGGGAGACAAAGACGACCGGGCGTGGTGCAAGCCACACCACCCGTGCCGGCCTTCATAGGTGCCGCTACTCGCTACCGGCACTTGCCCCGACAGTCTGTTACAGGCTACACGGGTGACCTTTGTCTCTGTTGGGGCAAGTGCTGTTAGCGAGCACCTATGAAGGCCGGCACGGCACACGAGCGGGTGGGTGGCCAACACCACGCCCGGCCGCCTTTGTCTCCCTAGTGACGATGTTTACACATCGCACCAGGTAGTCATTTGTGGCCGAGTCGACCTAGCGGAGGCCCAGGACCGGTTCAGATAATCGTCACTGATGTTGGCCGTGAGCGGGAATCGAACCCGGGTCGCCGGGTTCATAGCGCAGCGCGCTAACCGCTACACCACCGCTCCCCACACACGCGCGCGCACACACACTCAGAGACAGACAGTTGCACAATCAGATCAACCCGTTCATTGGGGGTGAAAGCGCGCATTTGTTTCGAGGCATATTATTAAACACGCATGTATATTTATGAATTTGCTCCTTAATGGCAATGGCAGGGAGCAATGGAGGGCGATCATTAGCGATAATGGTTCCCAGACAACGACGAGACAACGCTACTCATCTCCCGCTCACAGCCCAGCTGCTGCAGAGCCCGCGGTGGCAATTCCACGCTCCTATGGCGGGGGCGAGTCCATCCACAGGACAATCAATCGCCGTTGCCTTCCCCACAACGTGGTACTCGTTTTATCGACCCTCGCCACCAGAGAGATAGTGGGCTGAGTTAACTCACTTTCCTACCCCCCCCCCGCCCCCAACCAAAGTTTTTAGACAGTGGCGGCGATTCCACATTCCTATGACGGGGGCGAGTGTATCTATGTGATAACCCACAAAGTGGTACTAATTTCATCGACCCCAGAGAGATGATTGGCCGAGTCAAACTGGGAGATGTGGAGCCACTCGTGGTAGTTTAGGAAAGGCAGGTGCTGTTTGCGAGCACCTATGAAGGCCGTCACGGCACACGGAAGGGGGTGGTGTGGCCGACACCCCCCCTCGGTCGCCTTTGTCTCCCCAGTGCTGATGTTTTAAACAGCCCGCATCAGGCGCTCGTTTTACGGCTGAATCGATCTAAGGGAGGCCCAGGACCGCTTAAAGATAATCGTCACCAGTGGTGTTGGTCGTGAACGGGATTCGAACTCGGGCCGCTGCTGGGTTCACCGCACCGCGCGCTAACCACTGCGCCACCACTCCAGTAAAATAATAATTGTCATTTGTTAAGTCACGCAATTCATCCGTAGATGCCAATGCACTCCCATGTATGGAAATCAGGAAATATACAGAACTAGGTGGGGGGTAAAGGCAAATTTACTCACTCGCTCACCCACTCGCTCGCTCACCCACTCACCCACCTACTCACCCACTCGCTCACCCACCCACTGACCCACTGACTCTCTCGCTCACCCACTCACTGACTCACCCTACTCACTCTACGTGACTTTACCGAAAGAACCAAGAATATGAATCCCTGCGGTCACGAAAGTTTTAAATCAAAAGTCCCCACGGTTGTTCTCCGTTGTGCTCCCACCCCCACCTCCTCTCCCCGCACAATTCGTTTCAGGACGGAACTTGGACCGCGGCATCCTCCTGGACCTGTTCGCCAAAGCCACGGCGGAGGGTGGAGACTTCCATTGAAAAAAAGACAAGGGGGGGAGAGGGGGGGGGAGGGAGAGGGGGGGGAGGGAGGAGGGGGGGCCTCGCCCGCACGATACGTGACATCCACCAGCAGTGCTGCTGCTGCTACTGTTGCTGCTGTTGCTGCTGCTGATGCTGCTGCTGCTACTGCTGCTGATGCTGCTGCTGCTGATGCTGTTGCTGCTGATGCTGCTGCTGCTGTTGCTGCTGCTGCTGCTGCTGTTGCTGCTGATGCTGCTGCTGCTGCTACTGCTGCTGATGCTGCTGCTACTGCTGCTGATGCTGCTGCTGCTGATGCTGCTGCTGATGCTGCTGCTGCAAACAAAAGGCGCAGCCCCTGCAACGGCTGAGTCCTCTGCCCCTCTCCGCTGCCGGATGGGCCACTGCCAACAGATGGAGCTCGCGCGGAGAGCGACTTCGCCTTCAAACCCGTGCCCAGCGTTGTGGCCACGTTGTGTTTCTACATTCGCCCCCCCTCCTACTCCCCTCCCTCCCCCTCCTACTCCCCCCTCTCCCTCCTACTCCCCCCTCTCCCTCCTACTCCCCCCTCTCCCTCCTACTCCCCCCCTCCCCCTCCTACTTCCCCCTCCTACTCCCCCTCCTACTCCCCCCCCTCCTACTCCCCCCCCCTCATACTCCCCCCCCCTCCTTCTCCTACTCCCCCCCCCTCCTACTCCCCCCCCCCCCTCATACTCCCCCCCCTCCCCCTCCCCTTACTCCCCCCCTCCCCCCCTCCCCCCTCCCCTCCCTCCCCCCCTCCCCCTCCCCCTCCCCTCCCCCTCCCCTCCCCCTCCCCCCTCCCCCTCCCCCTCCCCCTCCCCCTCCCCTCCCCCTCCCCCCTCCCCCCTCCCCCTCCCCTCCCCCCTCCCCCCTCCCCCACCACGACTGTTGGGCAGCGCTGTGGACGTGCCCACGCTTTGCCCCGCCAGCTCGCTCACTGACGTCATCCACTGGTCACGTGGCCGTGCTACTGCGCGAGTGGACGGTGCTGGGCCCCAGTACACTGATTGGGGGTGGAGGGGAGGAGGGGAGGGGGATAGAGGGGATGGGTAGGGGTGGATGGAGGGGGGATGGGTAGGGGTGGAGGGGGTGGGGGGAGGAGGGGGGGGATGGAGGGGGATGGAGGGGAGGTGTGGATGGAGGGGAGGGGGTAGAGGGGGATGGTGGGGATGAGTAGGGGTGGATGGAGGGGATGTAGGGGAGGGGCTGGGTGTAATCAACTCGCCTCCCCCCCGCGCTCCCCAGCCACATGGAGAGTTCTACTTCAACATTTGCCGGGAACCTGTCCCAGTTGCTTCGTGTCGCCAGTCCAGTCGGTGTGTTGCCAAGACGTCACGCGCCGGAACCTGCCTTCGTTTTCTCGATTAAACAAAAACTTCGTGGAAAAAAAAATAATTGTCTTACATTTGTTGCGAAACATTCATACATAGATAAGTGTATGCGGAAAACCGCTGTTTCGTACGGTTACCGGTTAGGCAGAAACCGATTGAAACAGTCCACAGACACTCGCGCGCAGAAACACAACAAAGACAAAGATCCCCCGAATAGCCTTCGACAGACTTGGGGCAAGTGCCGTTTGCGAGTCGGACCTACAAAGTTCGCCGGCAACTGCGGCACACGAGTGAATGTGGCCAGCACCACGCCCGGCCGCCTTTGTCTCCCTCGGTGGCGATGTTTACACACCGCGCCAGGTGTACTCGTTTTGAGGCTGAGTCGACCTAGTGGGAGGCCCTCGGGACCGGCTCAGATAATCGTCACCGGTGTTGGCCGTGAGCGGGAATCGAACTCGGGTAGCGCTAACCGCTGCACCACCGCCACATGCCTTGTTCACAACCTTAATGTAGAAGAAACATTCACGACAATACAAATATACATACCTACCGACACATTCACACACACACACACGTATAAACATACGTACACATTCGCACGCGTAACAAAGACAAAGATCCCCCGGGTAGCCTGTTAACAGACTGCCGGGGCAAGTGCTGTCAACGACACAAAGACAAAGATCCCCCGGGTAGCCTTTTAACAGACCGCCGGGGCAAGTGTCATAGTCGCAAGAAGCTGTTAACGATATAAATACACACACACGCACATGCATATACCGTACATACACATAGTATACAAAGACAAAGAGCCCCCGTGTAGCCTCTCACAGACTGTTGGGGCAAGTGCTATTAGCCAGTAGCACCTGTGAAGACTGACGGCACTGTGTCACACGAGGGGGTGGTGCAGTCAGCACCACGCCCGGCCGCCTTTGTCTCCCCGACGCTGATGTTACGCACCGCGGCGCCACGTATTGGTTTTGAGGCTGAGTCGACATAGGGGAGGCCCAGGACCGGTTCAGATATTTCGTCACCGATGTTGGCGGCTCGGAGCGGGAATCGAACTCGGGTCACCGCCGGGTTCGCCTGCGCAGGTGCGCTAACCGCTGCACCACCGCTCCCCACGTGCACATCTTATTTATCCTGGAGCGTCTCACTCGTGTGATGATGATGATGCTGCTGATGATGCTGCTGATGATGCTGTTGATGATGTTGGTGTTGCTGATGATGCTGCTGCTGATGATGATGATGTTGGTGTTGCTGATGATGGTGCAGCAGTTGCTGCTGATGATGATGCTGCTGATAATTGTGCTGATGATGCTGCTGCTGATGATGTTGGTGTTGCTGATGATGATGCAGCTGCTGATGCTGCTGATGCTGCTGCTCATGATGACGATGCTACATCATCAAGACTTAATATTTAAGATCAACTAAAGCTTTCGGACTGTCTGTCGAAGGCACTCCGCACGTTCACGACTGCTGCTCGGGGTAGGGGCCGCGTCTCGTGTAGCAGGGGGCACGGGGGGGGCACGGGGGGGGCACGGAGGGGGGGCACGGGGGGGGCACGGAGGGGGGGCACGGGGGGGGCACGGAGGGGGGGCACGGGGGGGGCACGGGGGGGGCACGGGGGGGGCAAGGGGTGGGGGGCACGGGGTGGGGGGCTGGGGAGGTGACGTCCCATCATCGCCGTCTGTGGTGGCATCAGCATTATCATCATCATCAGCAGCAGCAGCATGATCATCATCAACAGCATCATTAGCTGCAGCATCATCAACAGCAGCATGATCATCATCAACAGCATCATCAGCAACAGCATCAACATCATCATCAGCAACATCAGCAGCATGATCATCAGCAGCAGCAGCATGATCATCATCAGCAGTAGTATGGTCATCATCAGCATCATCAGCATGATCATCATCAGCGGCAGTATCAGCAGCAGTATTGTCGTCGTCGTAGGTAGTGGTGGTGGTGTTGGTATTGGTGGTGGTGTTGGTGGTGGTGTGGGTTGGTGGTGGTGGTTTTGGTGGTGATGTTGGTGTTGGTGGTGTTGGTGGTGGTGTTGGAGTTGATGGTGGTGTTGGTGGTGGTGTGGTGTTGGTGGTGGTGGTGTTGGTGGTGAGGTTGATGTTGGTGGTGTTGGTGGTGGTGTTGGTGGGTCATGTAGCCCGCATGCCCAGCCACCGCATGCCTAAACAGCTTTTGTTCTGCCGGATCGAGGGGGCTAAACGGGCGCGGCACGGGCTAGAGAAGAGATGGAGTGATGTGGTACAGGAGGACGTGGAGCTGAGTGGACTTGCGGATGACTGGTACCAGCGGTGTCAAGATCGGCCTCTGTGGAGGAGGCTCGTGAAGGACGCTACTGGGCAGTTGGAGGCAGTCGCCCTCCAGCAACAACGGAGGGCGGAGGAGCGACGCTCACAACAACGAGCGGAGCGCCGAGTGGCTAAAGCACAGCAAGTTGGCACAGTAGGGGGCACAGTAGGGGGCACAGGTGGTGCATCAGCCAGTCATCTCGGTCATCTCAGTCAGTCGACCCGTGGCACCTGCTGGGTCTGCCCCGTGACCTCCTGCCAGCGGGCGTTCGACACTTCACGTGGCCTCAAGGTGCACCTAGCCTGGCACAATCGTCATGGTGACGTCACCCCCACTTAGTCACACAACAGCAACAACAACCGCCATTCGCCACTAAGTGGCGGTGACGTCACCACGACGCACACACTCACAGACACACACTCACTTACACACACACTCACTTACACACTCACACACACGCACACTCACACACACTCACACACACACACTCACACACACACTCACGTACATACACACACTCACACACACACTTACACACACACACTCACTTACACACTCACACACACACTCACACACACACTCACTTACACACACACACACTTACATACACACTCACACCACACACTCACGTACATACACACACTCACACACCACTTACACACACACACTCACTTACACACTCACACACACACTCACACACACACTCACTTACACACACACACACTTACATACACACACTCACACACTCACTTACACACACTCACTCTTTATCTTACATAGCGCCTTGACTAAAGCGCTGAACAAACAGGGATTTGTTCAGCAGCATGGCGTGATGAGATGAGTTGATGACGAGGGTGGGTAAGTCCGTGAATGTGATCGAGCGCAAACGGTGATGATTACGATCACGATGATCGTGTATGTTGAACTTCTTTCGCACCGTACATAGCCAACACGTCTCACTCTCCCCTATCACTCTCCAACTCTCTCACCCTGTGACTCTCCAACTCTCCAACTCTCTCACCCTGTGACTCTCCAACTCTCTCGCCCTGTGACTCTCCAACTCTCCAGCTCTCTCACCCTGTGACTCTCCAACTCTCTCGCCCTGTGACTCTCCAACTCTCCAACTCTCTCACCCTGTGACTCTCCAACTCTCCAACTCTCTCACCCTGTGACTCTCCAACTCTCTCGCCCTGTGACTCTCCAACTCTCTCACCCTGTGACTCTCCAACTCTCTCACCATGTGACTCTCCAACTCTCTCGCCCTGTGACTCTCCAACTCTCTCACCTTGTGACTCTCCAACTCTCTCACCCTGTGACTCTCCAACTCTCTCACCCTGTGACTCTCCAACTCGCTCGCCCTGTGACTCTCCAACTCTCTCGCCCTGTGACTCT